CAAAAGTTTTACATGTATTTTATATGGGGAAAAAGAAACTTTTTGTAGAAATGGTATACAACTCCTCAAAATCAATATTTTTCTATCGTACCTAAATATTTATTTAAGCATTTTTTCATAGTAACTATATTTTATAGGCCGCCAAGACCCCCATAAAATTTCAGAAAATGCAATGGGGGGATACAAAAAAAATCTTTGGTAATGAAAAATTGTATTGTTATTTGAAATCTCCTGAAGAGAGCCAGAGGTGTCCGATCGAAAATTATTGATTTTCAAGAATTCTATACCATTTCTACAAAAATTTGTTTTTTCCCCATATAAAATACATACATGGAAAACTTTGAGCGCTTTGAGCGACCTCTAAATAATTTTTTATTTCAAAATGAAAAATAGGGATATATTTTTTCAATGTAGAACAATTCCATGCGTGAGTGCATTAAAAATCCGACTTTACTTATTTTGGACCACCCTAATAATACATACTTACTTTGGGGGTTTGTTGTTGTTTTAGCAACTCTTAGTTATTTTGGTTCGTTGCGGCCAGTTCCGGGCAGCCAACTTTTCATGGATAGTTATTTTGTTGTATTTTATTCAGTACATGTTTCCATATTTTTGTATGCCCCTGGCAGCCGAGCGCCTTTTTAATGAGTTTTTATGATTTTTGGTCACTTGCCATTTAATTTCATATTTATACTCGTAACTTTATAATTCATAAGGTATTGAAATGGAAAATTTGCACTTAAGGGCATTTGCTAGGTACCGAAGAAAGCACTAAGCACTGAGTTAATAACTTATAATAAGTTTAATTTTAGTTTAAAGAGGCAATTAAAGAAATATTTATGCAACATTGACTGTAATCGTTTGTAAGCAATATAATTTCACGGAAAATTCTATGTTAAAAACATTGTAGAATAAGTGAAGCCGTTAGTTTGTTGCTTGTTTATCAATTTAATCCTGGCTCTACAAATACTTTTTAGAGTATCAATTGTGGATACAGCCTTAGGATACTGGAGATTAATCTGTTAGATATTAATACTCCAAGCAATTCTCTGTCAGCTCTAGTTTTTTTTCATAAAACGAGGCGCCACCACCTGTGCTCTCGGCGTTCGATAAGACCGATTCCACCTCCAAACTCAAAGGGTCGTATTCCTACCACCTGTCTTCCGACTCTTGGTGGTCTTAGTACGGGAAAGAGTTGTTCGGTTCTTCCGTACGTCGAATAGTTTAGATTCCATTATTATAGGGCTTCTTTAATCTCTCCAAGTGCAGAAGTTTCGGCTGGAAGACATATGCCCGTGGCAGAGCTTAACTGCCTCCCAAACATCTCCGTCGAAGACTACATCAGTCTTCTAAGCATAACTAATCATCCGTGGACGTCGTTTGATACTCTCATATCGTTGGGTACTTCTGGAATTCCGAATAGATGGCCGATATTACCCAATTTAATTCATCTTTAGACTCTGGAGATGATGCCGTTCTCCTCGATGCTCATTGCATCGCTCAACTCAGAAGGCTATTATCTCCTCTCCCTGCAATTCTTCTCACTCACTGTCTGCAGGCCACTGTCCGCAGGCCATTTTGTTCTGCTGCACACCGGTGAACACCTTTTTGGCTCACTCAAGCATCCAAACGAGCTTCAGAGATCATCGGAACTCCAAAAATTGTATCCGTCATGTGGCAGTCCGAATGAGCCTTCCTCGCCGATGTAAACGGCCATTCAATCCTAGCAGGAAAGTCCCGCGCCGAAGCGAAATAGCAATAAAGTAAGTGAAGTCCCCACTGGTACGAGCAGCCCCACTGAGTATTATAATGACATTCATATTGCCTGTTGTTTTTAACCAACCAGTCTGCGACTTGGGTAGTGTAAGAGTCTGATTTCGGCACTTTACTACAACTAGAATCCCGCTTGGCGAATTACACTAATGTTTATCACATGACCAGATACAGAACGCAAATATGATAATACAATGTCAAGACATGGTCTTGTACTTTCTTCTTCTTCTTCTTCTTCCAGTAAAGGGACTGAAGCCAAGTCCCTTTCCATGTGAACTCTTCATTGCAGTGCAGGCCTTTCTCTGTTACCAGCATCGCGATCCGTGTTGAATGCTTTCAGAGCTGTAGCGGTTGTGTCATACAAATCATAGCCCATCGCTTGAAGTATTCACCGTCGCCAAGGTGCAAATTTCCATAAATCTTACACACAATCTTTCTCTCGAACACTCCAAGAGCCGCCACATTAGATGTTTTTATTGTCAATGGTTCTGCGCCATAAACTAGAACGGGCGTTATGAGAGACTTATAGACTTCTCAATTGCTTACTCAGTCCAAAGTAGCACTTGTATCGTGCGTATACTCTGACTGTTTATCTGGTGGCAGGAGGCTCTTCGTTTTGTCCTCGCTCACCACCAGAACCACGCGCTTTGCTCTCTACTTTAGAGAGGGCGCCCATTGTTTCGCCGATGATGTCGATGTAGTCGATAAACGCCAGCAATTGTGCGGCCTTGATTCCTAGATAATTCAGTTATGCGACTCTCAAAAGGGTGTCGCCCTCCCTGGAGTCTCGTATTAGATTCTGTACTTAAAATTTCTATCTGGAAGTATGCCTTTATATCCAACAACAAGTCGGTGGTGACCCACAAACATTTTTTGTGAGATCCATATTCCCTAACTCCATTTACTTCTGACGAAACATACCTTATCCAGATTAATATCTGAAGTAACTTTTAAACGTCACTTAAAAAGCACAGTCCTTCCTCGCGCGACGTTCAAAAATCCTAACATTAATTGCGGTTTCTTTTCTACAAAAATGTTGCCTTCTCATTGCCCTCGTCTTACTATTCCTGCACAGAGGGCAATGAGAAGGCAACATTTTTCGCCAGAAAAGAAAATGCCATGAGGTTCCTGCACTTTAAAGTTTCCGCTGCGCTGTCGTCAGTCAATCTTTCATAATTGCATGGCTAGTCGCCACACGCATACACACATACACACATACGCACCAGTATACTTTTCGGGGGTGGCAATGGCGAGTGCCTGCAATGGCCTGTTTACCGTTGGCAATAATTCAAAAACAGTTCTCTGGCAGCACGGTTGCCGCCTTTTCTCTCGTTGCTTGTCACATGCAGGCGATTAAGATTGTATACCACCAAGTACAGCAGAACAACAATAGCAGAAACAACAACAACAACGACGACACACCAGCCAACAACACGGATTAGGCAAAAAAGCAACAAATCGCACTCGAAACTCATGCATTAAGGGCCGTTTTCTGAAGTAACCTTTAGCTTTAAAGCTCACGTTATATTTAAAGGCTACATTAAAATTTATGATTGTGTCTAAAGTAAATAATTTTATTGTCGGTTTTAAATTGATTTACAACCAAGAAACAGACATACGTCAAAAACCGATAATAGAAATGCTTAACATTAGACATAGCTTTATTTTTAATCCAACCTTTAGATATAAAGTGAGCTTTAAATTTAAAGGTTACTTCAGAAAATGGCCCTAAGTACACAATTTAACGCCCCGCTGAAGGCGGCGAGGAAAGCAGGAAAGCAACAGCAGCAACAACAAACACTTCGGTCGACGCAAGTTTTACCGAAAAAGTTTTGCATGGCCGCTGTTGCTGTCGCCGCGTGCAACACTTGAGCCAGCAGCCACCCGCTGCCCTCGAAATACACATTCAATTACTCTGTTTTAAACTAATATTGCTGTTGTTGTTTTTGTGATTGTTATCGGGGGGGGCAGCCTCGACTAACCTCTGCTGTCGTTGATGTGGTGCCATCATGTCTCTAATAAATTCTTGTTAGCTTTATAAAATTGTCTCTATTTGCATTTTTT